TATTCTTGTTAACATAAGAATGTGCAAAGAGGGGCAGCTGTAGACACTCGTTTTTATTTGGGTCTAAAAACTATTATTATTATTATTTATATTATTATTAAATTACATTTTACACATTTTTGCAGGCCTAAACCCGAGCCCAAGTACAAGCCTCACTCAGAGCCTAGACAAGCAACCCAGTAGCACCCAACAGCCCACAAGTACCAGAACCCATGACCTGACTCAAAGTCCACCAAGAAGATCCAGACCCAATTAGGGTTTTCTTCCCTTCAACTCCAACCGTCGCCGTTTGGCCTTCTAGATTTCAGTCAGTGCGTGGAATCCACCACCCTTCTCCCCTCGCGCGTGAGCCACTGTCGTGCACTCCCGAGCCGGCCATCATCAGCAACCTATCAAACAGAAGCCAAATCAACCCCAAGATATCATCTAGATTTCCAATATACCCAAAACAGTGATCCAATATGAACAAAAATCAAAACCCCATACCTAAATTCTAATTTTTTCGGGATTTAATCTTGCAAAATTAGAAACACCATTCCCCTATCATTCTAGATATCATCATCTCACCAAACAAAGCAATCAACCATAAATAAAAAACCAGATTAAAAAAAAGGGGATTGGGGGAGTTAAAAAAATAGAGAGAGGGAGCTTCGAAGAGAGATTTGGAGAGAGAAAAAATAAATACAAAAGAAAGAAGGAGGAGAGAAAGATAGTGGCTTATCTCGGCCGAACGCCGATGAGCCAAGGGTCTCCGGAGCCGAATGTTTCTTCATAGATCTATGGCGTTTGAGCCATTTTTAGGCCAAACCGAGCTCAAACCCGCCTTCACGGAGAGAAGACACTTTGAATAATATCTTCCTCTCTCTTCTCCGATGTCGTCGTACGACGACGACTTCCGATCAATGGCGGCTGACACGGCGGAGCTCCATCGAAATCTGGGCTTCGGTTGAAGCCTTGAGAGAATTTTCTCTCTGGTCTCTCTCTCTCTCTCTTATCTCTTATTTCGTTTAAAATGAGATAATGGTCGGTTTATGGTTTATTTAAGCCATTTATATGTGGATCAAAATGACGTCGTTTTAAAGGGGACTTGGGGAGCATTTTCTTGCCTGGGTTATTCACTATAAAGGTCCTCCATATCTTGTAATCCTCTATTTTAGTCATTAATGTTAGTTTCTTTTTAATTCGAGCTCTTGTTTTGTATATGTTGCAATTTAGTCCTGTTATTGTATAGTATGTTATGTTTGTTAATTTTTGAATTTGGTCACAATGTTTTATAATGTTATATTTTAGTCACTAATTTCCTATATTGTGTATTTTTCTTTGATATTCGAATCTGGACACCATATTTGTAAATCTATCATTTTAGTCATTATTTTACATTTGGTTTATTTATTTTTCGGCCTTCATGTTTTTGTTTATTGCAGTTTAGACATAAATACTATTTATGGGTTATTTTCTATTTCTAGTGCCTATAATGTTTAATATTTGTAATCTTGGTTATAGTTTATTTGTAATTATTGTTTTAGTCCTTTTAGTTGTTGTTTTTACTATTTAACCCTTCAAGATTCTATTTTTTTAGTTTTAGTCCTTTAAATATATGTTTTTGCTATTTTAATCCCTTAAATGTCTATTTTTACTATTTTAACCTTTAAGTGTTTATTTTTATTTTTTGGTCCTTTAAGTTTTTATATTTGTTCTTTTGGTCCTTTAACTTTATGTATTTACTGTTTAGCCCTTTTAATTTCTGTTAATTTTATTTTAGTCCTGTAAATACTTATATTTTGATGATTTCATTTTGGTGTGTAATGTTCATTTATTTTTATTTTAGTCATTTATGTATGAATGTATTTTACATATTATGTGGTTATTTGTATTATGTAAATAATGTGTTTAGTTCCATTTAATGTAAATATTTATATTTCCAATTACATTTATTTCCATTATATTTTTATCTATGTATGAAATATTCGATTTTATTTCAAGAACACATATGCGTAGAATGAGCGTGGAAAGTACCACTTGGTCGAAGGGGTACGATCCGGTACGACATTTTAACGACCTAGGAACTTGAAACAAGTCGAATATATTGTACTAATTAATTTATTCAAATGATGCAATGTGTGTTATTTTAAGTAACAATTTACTTTATTTTATGTGAATGTAAACTTCAAATTTCTTTAATTTGTATTTGATTCACGTTTTAGTTAATCAATTTATTTTGTTGTATGTAAACATCATTTTTTTATTTATATTCGATTCGCATATTTATTGTTATTGATGAGGGAATATTTTTTACGGATAAGAAATAGACGAGATAGCTTTCCCGATGGAGGATTGCTAATCTCGAGATTTCTTTTCAAGTTAAAGAATTTTCTTTAATTAATTAATTCAAAGCAAATTAATTAAATTTCAATAAACTGATCATATTTTAACTTTATATTCGATTCATGATTTTCACCATTTCGACAACGTATAAACGACACAGTACCAATTTCGGGCACAGTGGGGGTGCTAATCATTCCTCACGCGTAACCGACTCCCTAACCCGTTTTAATCGAATCTTTGTAAACGCAGACCAATTTTTGTCTAAAAATGATTTTTCTTAAAATTATTTTTAAAAGACGTTTTTTAGGTATTCGACCTAACTAATCCAAAGGTCGACGGCGACTCACTTTTCCATTTTTATTCAAATCAATTCAAATTCAACCAATTTTCCAAAAAATTAAACTCATAATCGTTTTTTAAAATAATATTTAATTATTTTTCTAAAAAATGGTTATGACAATAATTTAAACTAGAAAGTTGAATTCATGTACTAATTTAAATTTTAATCACTGAAAATTTAAAATATTTGCACTTTGAAATAATTTGTAGGAATTTAAGTTTAGATACTTGATTGAAAAAAATGTTAAATTAAACTAACAAGTCAATTCGGGTACCAAAATATATATTTACCCATAATTTTTTAAGAAAGAAAAAGGTGATTGAAGTTGCACGCGTGGGTGAGATGGGATACCAAGAGAAGGGTGCCGCTTGCCCCACCTCCGAAATGTGAGAAGGATGAGGATAACGTTATAGATTTAACTAAATTGAAATGAAAATTTGGGATCCGAACTAATGTTTTTAGGGTAAACTCCGATAATGGTCATTTTCTTTAAATTTTGTTCACTTTTAGTCATTAGTTTCAAAATTAATAAGATTTTAACCAGTTATGTTATCAATTTATAAATATTTTGGTTACTATAACGTTAAATGCAATTAGTTTAATAAGATGATGTGTTTTTAAAAGGAGTTAATTTTTAATTAGACTCTTAAACTCTTGATAAAATATAAATTTAACCTCTAAACTTTAGATAAATATCAGATCTTTAAATTTTAGATTAATTTATGAATCTGACCAAGATCTTTCATCTGTTGACTTTCACTTACTACCAGTCAGTCATCGATGTCGAGGATTGTTAATCCTTCAATTTACATTTCACTCTATTTTAACATCCTAAACGTAAATTTAATGTTTGTTTCATTATTTTTTTAAAATGTATTTGTTTCATTAAAATTATCTTAAACCTTATAAATATAACCTAAAACTCTTTGGTAAGGTTTCCTTCGAAAGTAAATTATAATAATAAATTTAACATTGATATTCTTTTAAAAACAAAAGCATTAAAAACCTAATTTTATGTAGTAATCAAATCCATAACATAAAAAATAAACAGTGTAATGCATTGCAGTAATTTCCTTCCCTTAAAACTCATCGATAGTTGTATTTGATGACTTCTTACTGTCGGTTCCAAGCGACGACCCATCTTTTCCACGCCCTCCCAAACTTTTTCTTCCCTAATTTCATCTTTACATTCATTTCACAGATGATGACACCACGATAAGGAGGAAGAAGAAGAGAGCTGGTTTATACCGATTGAAGATGATCCTACACAGATTAGTCGAAGACTAGGTCGTCGGTTTTTCTTATGGAGTGATTTGTTGGAAGTTTCGTATGTATTCCAACCCTCAATGAACACATGCAGTAGCCTTGATACCAACAATCCATGCATATCAGAGGAAGAAAACAGGAGATTTTGGTATTTAGGCAGGCAGCTGCATTGGTGGATATATATATTAATCAATGTCAAAAGAAAGCCTGGTGTTCACTTTGAAACAAGCATGCAAAGAGAGATGCTTGGTTCATTTATGAAATCACATTACAAACATGTATCAGCCAAAGAATAATATGCCCTTCGTCTTAGCTACTCAATTCTACAACATCCCGAATTTCCTTGGAAGGGATTTCAATATGCAAAGATCATAACAAAAAATAGGATTAATTCAACCAATGAGATTGGTTCAGTTATAAGCAATTAATCTCTCGCTTAAACAAGATTTCAAGTTTGAATTCTTGTATATGTAAAAAAAATCTTGTTGAGAGACTCACCGATAAAAGCTAGGTGTGCGATGAGAGTTAATCCAGATATTTTATATTTTTTCCATGTATTTTTTTTATTGAAAATCTATTTTTGCCCCTAAAATTTTGTAAGTTTAAATTTACCCCTAAAAATTTCATAAGATCAAGTTCACCCCTTAATATAAAAATATGCGTATGTGCCCTATTTGTGTCATGCTAATAAAATGAGCCACGAGAAGAAACATGAGACCTTGACAGAAATATGAGTTACCCTACATGCTTTAATTAGAAGATAACACGGCTGCACATTAAACAAGTGGACGACTGTTCCACAAACAGGGAACGATGCAATTGTTCCAACAAATCATGCGATATCACATTCTTGCCATTGCCCTTCTTTCCAGCTTTCACCACTCTTCCTAGTAACCTGCTAAAAATCGGCAAAAGAAACATCCACATTGTGTCAACAACATATCAAAGCATACACAAAACATAGTGCAGTTAATCAGTGGCATAACATGTAAAGTTCAATCTGAAACTTGAGCAACAAACCATAAATCATGGGTTCAAGGTTTCCACGATCCAAGTTCTGCACAATGTTACAAAAGTTGCAGTGCTTGTACCTACTTCTTACAGGGATACAGGTTGATTGTTATCCCACTGACAACCAAATCTAGCAGAAACATCATTAATGTTACAGTCATCCATGGAATCACAGAGGTTACACAGACAAATACAACTAGGATTTGGATTATTTAGCTGCTCACAGGAGCGGCAGCTCCTCTAGGTGGTGTAGTATTAGCTTGTTCACTTTCTTTAACCTTACCATTTTCGATCATCTCTGCATCTACTGCCTTGCCCTTTTCCTCTACCTGTAAACATTGTTTCTCTTCGGCTTCTCCCTCGGATATAGGGACTTCTACATTTGGATTCTCTTTCTCCACTCCCCCGTTAGCTCCCAGCATCACAGTTTCCGTATTTTCTGGTTGTTTCTCACATTTACCATTCTCTGTCTCTGCCTGAGTTTCTGGCACATTTTCTGTAGGGGCTTCCTCCTTTTCCTTTTCAGTTTGAATCCCATCTTCGGCAGGTTTCTCTTGAACCTGCATTGGAGTCGGGGATTCTTCAATCCCAGCGGCATCTTCTTTTTTGTCAGCCTCTGCAGTTTCTGGAACCTTAACATCCTTACCGGCTTCTTCTTGCCCAGCTTCCTCCATCTTGGCATCAGTTTCTTTCTCACCTTCGGCTTTTACAGGATTGGCCTCTGTTTCCTTTTCTTCCTTCTTAGCACTCAATGATTTTCGGACTCGCTTCTTTGGGGTTTCCTTTTCCGGTGTTGGAGTAGCCTTGGCCTTTTCAATGATCCTTGACGATCTTCTAGGGGTCTCACCGGTACCCCAATCAAACTCCTTTATTGGTGGATTACCGGGGTGTGCTTTTAGGTACTGCTCCAACTGTCTCCTGTTACTAATCTCCTCCCCAGTTGGTGCAATGAACACGACCTCGGTCTTCCTTGGTGAACCAGCTTTCTTGGGGAAAAACTGAAAAAATAAAGAAAGAAAGAAAGACATGTTATGCATGTAAACTACAGCCGTCAAATCAAATAGAGACAAAACACAGTAACTTGGACGCTAAAATATGCAATTCAAAATGTTTAATTGACATCCTGCAGATCAATGTTTCTTGGGCTTGGGGGATAATATCATATACAAGTGTACGTAAGTACTTTGCTTGATTTTCCTAAGTTTTTCCATGGCCTCCATACACATGCACTAATACGTGTTGGATATGGGTACTATAAGAATTAAGAGTTTGAGCGGCATAGCTCTGTGCACAGAGATGTGGTAAACCATTCTTGTTATCTGAATAGTATTATAAATGTGGATGCCAACAAAATCGAAACTAAGACAAAAAGATAAGGTCTAACATTGCAGGAAAAATCTGTAGGTAAAAAGTCATCTTCTTGATTACACCATTAGTTTACATTGGAAAGTAAATTTAAAAGCTGAAAGAACACGAGGAGGGCATGCTGGTTTATCATTCTGGGATTGGTTTTTCAAAGCTCAAAACTTGAGAAACAACAAACCGAAACTCAGAACAAAGAATGCTGACAAAAGTCAAAACTCTACTAAGCAGACGGTAAACAAAACACCAAAGTCAGCTAAAACTGACTGCTGGCACGTCCTTATTGATGATTATGCCCAAAAGTCAAAAGCTTTCCTTTTTGTTTGATCCGTCACTACGAGCGAACGTCTATCTCACAACATCCTATACCAACGAGGCAATTTCAAAATAAATGATTAACCTCAATTTCTTTCAAGTTTTGGAGATTTTTCCCATATTTCGTAGCTACATCGATGGTGTTTTCTCTGGGTTTAAAAAACATTGCTAATTTTAATGAATTCTAAAAGAGAATACAGCAGATGTCGGCTGGAAAAACGAGCATGAAGTTCACTATATAAAGCAAAATAGGAATCCCCTTTTCTCCCAAAAAAAAAAAAAACTTTGGGAAAAATATTTGGAGGAAAATTTAACTACCGTGTAAGAAATTAACTTAACCCTAGAAATGGTTGAAAGATCAAAACTTCAACAAAACCCTAATTTCAACTATTACCAAAAACACAAAGGTAAAAACTTAAAAGCTAACCATAATGATGAAACTACAACCATAAACAAACAAATTGAAGCAAAATATCAATAAACACAAACTTAACAGTAACTTCCCGAATTCACACAAAAAAACACAAATTTTCCAAGGAAAAAAGTCATAACACAAAAAGCAAGGTGCAAAATTTAAAGGAACAAGCAAATTAACGCATAAGTACTCAAACAAGTTAAAAAAATTAAACTTTTTTTTAAATACCATTTTCTTCCAAGAAGCAGGTGCAGGAAGCTCAACAGAAATAACTTCCTCCTTACTCTCCATTATTTTCGCCTGCAAAAGCAACAAATTCTTATCTGAAAAAGAAAACAAAAACCCAAAACAATACCTACTCTGCTTTCTCTGGAATTTTACCTTAAAAAGGGGTTTCTTCTCTCTGCTCCCGCTATTTTGAATTTGTGCTTTTGTGTGGTAAGAAGAAGAAAGGGTCATAAAAACCGTTGTGACTTCAGTTTGGGATTATGTCCTTTTTTTTCTTCCCCAAAATCTAACGTGTGAGTGATAAAATTACGACTAAATGCACGGAAAATTTGGTACATTGAAGCAATATCCAATGAGAAGATGCCAGCTGGTCTTTTGAGGATAGTTCGAGTCGTTTCCATTCTTTGATGAGTTTGGCTTTTGTCTGTAAAAAATGGATTGTTGACACGTGTCTTATATTCGCGGTTTCATCAGACTGTATTTTCCCTCCTCGTGCACACCCAAGCTCCTCAATTTGATTCACGTGACATAGCGCGTGAGTTGATGCTAACGTTGAGAACATAAACTTTTAGTACTAAGGGGTTGTTTGTTTGTCTCTTAATGGAATCATTTAGCTTTGAATGTTGAATCGTTCAGTATTCAGCGTGTTTGTTTCGCACTTCTGAATGATTCAGTGTTGACTGATTCAGCAAAATAGTGTTGAATAATTCATCACAAAAGTATATTCTGAATGATTCGGAGTTATTATCAAACAACATGTCACATTTAGAACTAATTTATACAGAGCCTCTAAATCATTCAGCATTTGAATCATTCAGCGTTTAATCATTCTGAAATAAACAAACAGCCCCTAAACATAAGTTCTTGATTCAATTTAGTACTTTTTTTCTTCAAAGTAGCACATAAACTTGGATTCCGTTATACATGTTACCCCAAATTATAAATCCATTAAATTCAAATAAGGCTCAAGTTAATAAATGAACTTAGTTTTTTTATATTTCAAATTGATTGAAATTTTTAGAGTATCATTTTGAACAAAGAAGTCAAGTTCAAGTACAGATTTGTACTAAGAAGTCAATTTAGTATACTAATTTAAACTTTAACCGGCAATAATTTTGAAATATTGATACTTTGGATAATTTTTATTATAGAATTCACGTTCATTAACTTGATTGAAAAAAATATATAAGTAAATAAAAAAGTCATTCAAGTACCAGATATATATTTACCCATTACCTTTTTACGGAAAAAAAGTGATTGAAATTGCACGCGCTAACACAAGAGTGAGGGTGAGATGGGATACAAAGAGAAGGGTGCCGCTTGCCCCACCTCCAAAACGTGAGAAGATGAGGATAACGTTTTAGGTTTAACTAAATTGAAATGCAAATTTGGGATCCGAACTGATGTTTATTACATGTTATTTAGTTTGTAACTTTTTCCCCCATTTCTAACGCAATAAAATCAAATTCCCAACAGAATAAACAAATTCTAAAAAAATGAATTTCAAAAAATAAATTATATTTTAAAAATAAAAATGTTTAATGTTTAAATTGAGTTGTATATATTTTATGTTTGATAATTTAAAAAAAATGTTTTTAGGCGCATACCTTTTAAGCTTCACCCCATAACATGTCCCAAATCGAATGCTCGTCGGAATAAGGCGGACAAACCCTCACTATAGATTAAGAACAAATACAGATTTAGAGGTCACCCTATCGAATCCCCCTTTCATGCTCAAAACTCTCGCCCACAATGCCATTCAACACCATCGAATACGATACAGAGCACACACATCTTTTGATAAGATTGATCCATTCTATTGCGAACTCCATTCTCCCAAGGATATCCCATACTAGCTTCCACTCAACTCGGTCATAAGTTTTGCTCATATCAAGCTTTAAAGCAAAATATCCCTTTTTCCCCACTCGTTTCGTCTGGAATGGGTGTAACATCTCGTAAGCTGCAATAATGTTATCGGAAATAATCCGACCAGGAACAAACGCACTTTGTGCCTCATCAATACACTGAGGAAGATACCTTTGCATAAGATTGACAATCATTTTGACACAATCATGAAAATGACATTGCAAAGACTTATGGGCCGAAAATGGCTCATACTAGTCGGGGAATCAATATTAGGAATAAGCACAAGATGAGTATGATTTACCATTCTCATGTCATACCAAACATGGGTCAAGACAATACAGAAATATGCTACTTCAGCTCCGAATAATATGCCAAAATATTTGGTAGAAGAGCGCCCCAAGACCGTCCTCTATAGCTGCTTTTAAATGATTTATTGATTTTACAGCACTTGTCACCTCCTCTATTGAATTCACGATTAATCTCACCATTGTCCTCATCCGAAATACAAACAGAGATGCCATTAAGTATATTTGTACTTGTGCTCGGGTTGCTCGAAGTAAAAAATGACTGAAAAAATCTTTCGCTTTGATGCTCATTCCCACTTTGTTGTCGATCATATTCCCATTACCATCGTCTAAAGCTAAGATTTTGTTTCGTCTTTTTTTTTTCTATCGCACACCTATGAAAATAAGATGTGTTATTATCCTCATGCTTCAACCAATTAGACATAGCCCTCTGCTCCCAATAAAGTTCTTGCTTATCAGCTTCTAAATTGAGCTGAAGACAAGTGTCCATAATATTCCTAAGAACCTCGTCCGATGGATCCATCTCAAGTAAATCTGTTAAACGTTGTTGAAGATCCCCGTAACACCCCTAACCCGTACCCGACCCGGATACGAGTCCGAGATATCAAATTGACTTTTTAAAACAATATTATTAACAAAACATTTGGACTTATATTACTAAAATACGATAATATACATAGGTTTATACAAAGTTCACCAAAGAGCATACACAACTTAACTATTTGATTACATTCCAACATTTATTTACATAACAAAATGACCTACTGCTTAAGTTGCTTCTGATCTGATAGTTGCAGGAGTAATGTTATCCCATCTACTTAACCTTGCTTGTCTACTTTCTCGGATCCTACGTGTGAAACACTCACACGCTAAGTCATCGACTTAGTGAGACATAATAATAATAACAATGAAATATAATGATAATGCCATAATGATATGAACTCAATGCAATTTTCATAACCATGTTTCTTACTCATAGGCTGGTCAAATTAACATTCATGAGTTCATATTAATAAGTTCACTAGCCCATGATACAATATTGAGAACCTAAGTTATGCGAGTACCGTGAGGTTGTGCACTATGCTGTCACCACAGCTCGTATAAATGCAACGAAGTGCCATGTAGAATTGCATCGAAGTGCCGCGTAGAAATACACCGTAGTGCCATATAAGATGTCCATAAGGACCACATAGAAATTCCTTAAGAATCATATACATATACCAAGGATCAAGTATGTGTCTCAAAAGACCTCACACATGTTCCAAAAAATACATATATGTCCCGAAGGACCGCGTAGACTCTCTACTCTTGACATGCCAACTATACTTATAGTTCTCATCTACATAACATGGGTTTTTCTCAATTCACATAGTATATTTCATAAACGTATCATTTCCTTACCTTTATCAAATGGCTCATATAACTTTCATACATATTCATCTAAAACATGTTACACAATGCACATGGTACGAATTCATATCATGTTTCATAATATGAAATGAGTCATGTATCAAGGTATTAAATCTAGACTCATCACAACTCTAGAACTGAATATACTACTATAATCATGCTATGCATATGCACTCACCTAGATCCCTTTGTCTTTCCCTCGATCGATCTTACTTCCCAAATGTTCTGGAACTACTTTAGGCTCAGTATCTACATAAATATAAATTTTAAGGCGATTATCAGATGCCTAAACCTTGTAATTTGATACTAATAACTTAAACGAATTTAATGGACCATAATTCATTTTTTTTCTTTAGGGGATATCGATACACTACGGGTGTATCGATACCCAAAATAGCTTCGAAATTTATAGGTATCGATACTTGTCTGTGTGTATCGATACACAGGTATCAATACACTCCTCAATGTATCGATACACCCTAAAGATAACCTTCAAAATTGGTCTTAGTGTATCGGTACCTATTCATAGTGTACTGATACACCCTGCCCAGAACAGACTGTTTTCACCCAAAAATTACCAACACTTTACTCAATTCCATCATATACAACTCCTTTCATACCATTAAAATCAACAACAACCATACTAACTAACTTCTATCATTCTAACAACTTGTAATCTCCCATATCTCATCTAAATTCTTAAAGTTAAGAATCTTATCAAATTTTCCATGTTATTCAAACTTAATTCTAACACTTATAACTTCTTATTCTCATGACAAGTCAAATTCAACATCCAAATTCATTTAAACCTTCTTATTCAAATTTTCACTTAAATGCTTTATATCTTCAATCTTCCATAACTTGTTATTCTTTGCATGTTAAACTACTTTAAACCTTCCTTTAGGTTTCCTAATCTTCCAAGAATCCAAAGCATATCAAATTTTACAAGAATTATTCAACTAGAGGAATTCTTACCTTAGCTCAGAATGCTTCACGTTTGGAGAAGAAGAATGAGGAAGAAAGGTCTGGAAATCTTTGTTCCTCCAAATGTTTCCCACGTGGGTTATAAAATACCCACACAATATTATATTATTTCCCTTACTAAAAGACCCATTTGCCCTTTTAATTCTTCCTTCCTTGCTAAACCATCCTACTTACATATTTCTAATTAAGTCCCTAAATTTTTTAATTTATCAAATTTGATCACAAAATTTTAGAATTTCACAATTTGATCACTAACCCGGTATGGAGGATGTTACAATCCCGACCTATTAACTTCTTTTGCTTGCAAAATCCCCTAAACCATTCATCCAACCCTTTACACATACTATTCAGTCTATCCAACACTTGCTCCTTTGATTCCTGCCACAATCGACTTACCTCCACCTCGCAACTATCTTCCAATAACCAAACAGGAAAATGCCATATATGCACAAATCTACTATTTGTATCAGTTGTTAACAACCAGGGCCGGCCCAATACATGTGCCAGATGGGCCTTAGCCCAGGGCAGCATGTTTGAGGGGGCATCAGACTGTCGGGGTTATAATAAAACATTCGTGAAATACAAAGGCTAAATAATAAATATGCATGTTTTGACGCGGGGACCAAAAGGTATTAATTTAAAAACAAGCATGGCTCCCTCAGTAATAAACCCATTCGCCCAATAATGAAATACCTTGGACCCCTATTAAACGACATCGTTTTATTAAAGTTAAATAACACCTTAAATTAACAAAACCTAATTTCTGCCACACTCAACCTATTACAGCGCCGCTCTGCTCGCCCTTCTCTCTTCCTCACCCTCGCATGGCCGAAAGCAATGGCTCCTCAAGCCAGATAAAATCTGACCGACCACCATATTTTGTTGGCCACTCCTCACTCCGTTCACTGCCAACGACAGCCTGAGGTGCCAAACGACTCCCTAATCGACCTAAACCGCTCGAAACGATTATCCTAACCTCTCATCTTCTCGACTGAATAATCCCCAAACCCATGGACGCCATTTGCTAACCGTAGATCGGTGAAGCTCCACCTCTTGACCACCATCCACGACAATGGATCAAACCCAAAGCCGCTTCTAAATCGAACCTGACCGATCACACCTTCACTCCTGACAATAGCCCCGACGCTCGGCCAAGGTAAGTTCTCTCTTTTCTTTTTGCTTCCTTTTTTTTGTTTTTCACTCGAACTGGTCCACTCTCCCTGTTTTTTATTCTTTAGATTTAGTTTTGTTTCAAAAATTTTATAAAGCTTAATCTCATCTACAACAAAACCCGTACATATATTTGTACGAAAAAATGTATGAAATCATCTTTTTAGGTGATATTTGTAGCCTTGTAGGTTTTGGTTTGTGTTAGTATTGATATTGTTTGACTGTAATTTCTATTACATTTTTGTTTTAAAAAAATTTATATGTCTTGCTATTATACGGTATAAGTATAGGGGCATAAAATTATTATTTCGCCCATGGCATTAAAACTCATTGGATCGACCCTGTTAACAACAATAGGCAACGATCAGAAAAACCAAGTATCAGATGTTGCAAAGAAAAACGAGGGAAAGTATCCGTGCACAAATTATTCGCAACCCCCTATCTAACAATATCCCTAATTAACATGGTTGTTTGTCTCCCCCTCTTCCAAATAAACCACGTACCCGAGAAGTCGAAATTCGGTAAACCACAATCCATCAACACATCACAAAAAGCTGTCATCTGGCACTCGCTCCTAATATTACCACCCTCTTTCTCATAAGCATATATGATTTCATTGAAATCTCCAATGACCAGCCACGAAATATCTGACACGCCATTTAGACGACAAAGCTAGTCCCACGAACTAGCCCTATTCTGCTCTTCCGGCGCACCATAAAACCTAGTACACCTCCATCTTTGCCCATCAATCTCATTTACAATAACATCAATATGCGAATTCGAAACCGATCTTAACATAATATCACAAGATGGAGTATATTTTAAAAGTGAACTTGTATTTAACTATTAAATCATAAGCTTTGGGGTATTCTATAATTTCTTTATTTTAAAAAATGAAATTTAAATTTATAAATGCACGTAGGTATTTAAAATTTAAAACTATATTTACAAATGGTTGTAGGTATTTGAAAATTAAAAATCATATTATATTCCATAAAATTTACTATTTTAGTAAAATATTAAAATACAATATACATAACTAACTTAAAGTATAATTAATAGTTAGCTGAACAATCATACTTTGATCAGTTAATCAAGTTGTTCGCCTTTGTTATCTCATATTCTCTTAGATTATAAATTCTATATTTATTAGAAACATTCTCATTCATTCTCCTAAAGTCTATCTTTCCCTCCTTTATAGGTAGGATTAAGATTAGATGTAGAATTTGTCCAAACAAAAACTAATAATTAAATGATCTAGTGAGATAAAATACAAGATTCATTAAATAAGTTCAGAAGTTTGAATTCTAGCTTTGTGAATAAAACAAACTAAGTCGGGAGTATCGTCTCCAAAATGTCCTTCTAGAATATCAATTCGAATGAATCAATCGATATATTTGATACCGGTGATTATACTTAAAAAAAAGTTATATAAAAAAGTGGAGTAATTATTATTGCTTTCTTGGGTTGTGGCTGTTTTTGACTTTTACAGGTTCTTGGATTTGCCGAGTGTGGAAACTGTTGTTGTGAGTTGAAACTAGTGGTAAAAATGCAAAGCAGGCAGAAGCTGTTACTAGCTCTTCTCTTATCCTCAGTGGTTAGGTGCTCTGTGGCCTAACTTTGACAAGGTTCGAGAGTTGGTATCTCAGCTAAGGCAATGGAAATCAAATTAACTAAAACTTAATTATAATATGAAATGAGGTATTCTAAAATAACTTTTTCAATTAATCTTTATTTTATTTTATTTAACTTGTAAAATTAATCTTTATAGCTTTATTTTGGGAGTGGTTCACATTGTAGATGGTATGAAGAGTCAAACAAATTTTGAAAATTAATGGGAAGTAATTTGTGATTGTCCATTGCAGCTATCAAAGCTTGATTTGCCTGTTCTTGGAGCACCGTACGGACGTAATATTTTATGTTAGAAGGGATGAACTTGAAATTTTAAAATTTCAGGAGGTGAATTTGAATTTATAAATTTTTAGTGGATGAAATCATATTTTTAATAGAAAATATTTAGAAAAAAAATCTAATATATATAATAATTTTAAAATTTCAGAGACCACTGTGATTGGCTCTCCCCTCATCCTCGATGGTTGAGTGTTTATCACTTCACCTTTTACAGGGCTCGAGAGCTGAAAATGTAACAAAAACCCCCCCTTTTTCATATGATAAGAGGTATTCTAAAATACCTTTTACATTAAAGAGTATAATTGAATTAATATTCGATACATTATCAATATATGAATCTTAGACTCAATGATATATCAAAATTCGTTATCTTCTTAAATTTTTATTTGAGGAATATTTATTTATCAACTTAAAGTAATTTGCCGATGGAGCAAAGTTCTAATACAAATCTATATTACCATTTTCATTATAGTTAATTGCACCATATATCCCCATACTATGACCCTCATTTTGAATTAGTCCTTAAACTTTTAAACATTTTAATTTCATCCCTGAATACAACTCTCATTCTAAATTAGTCCTTAAACTTTTGAATCTTTCAATTTCATCCATAAATTCATCCAAATACATAATCAATTTCAACCATAATTTAATCTAAGTTTTATTTTTTTTCAAACGCATAATAATATAACTTGGACTAAAGATTTCATTAACAAGGAACGTGATAAGTATACACGTATAATTTGGGATGAAATGGAAACGTTCAAAAAGTTTGGGGACCAATTTACAATGAAGATAATAATTTGTGGATGAAAATGAAATGTTGAAAAGTTTGAGGATTAATATAGAATGGTAGTCATGGTTTAGGGATGAAATTAGAATGTTTAAAAATGTAAAGGCTAACTTATAATAAGAGCCATAATCGAAGGATTATGATGCAATTACTCTTTTTATTATTTTTTGTGAACATGTAGTCTTCGTCTAAGACTTTATTTATCAAGTTGTGATAATGAGAATTTTTTTTAAAGATTCAGAAAGAAGTCGTTTGTGTACCTCTATATTTGAGTTGGATATTTTTAGTTGATAAAATAATTTCAAAATTCTATTAAAATTTAATTCGTATTATTCGATTAAAAACTAAAAATAAAAATTTGATAAAATAATACCTTCTTTTTCTTTATTTGGTTTTGTGTGTAATCTTTAAATTAGACTGAATTTTTTATTAATTTTAGGATTAACTACATGCTTAATCACTTATGTTTGTGTTTTGTCTATTGTTATTTATTGATTTCAAAAAATATAATATATGATCACTTTTATTTTTATTTAATTAAGATATTGTCACTTTCGTTTTTATTTAATGAAGGGTTAACTACACATATGATCACTTATGTTTGTATTTTGTCCAATTTTAGCCACTAATTTCAAAAAACATAAGATATAGTCACTTTTGTTTTTTATTTAGTTAAGATGTGGTCACCCCGAGTTAACTATCGTTAACAACATTTAAATATTTTGATATAATCACACATTTGATCCCTATTATTTCATGTTCTCTCAATTTAGTCATACTTCTATTAAATTAAAATAGATATATATTTTTAAATGAAAATAAAAAAAAAATTAAATAAATTTAATAATAAAATTTATTACATAAGTTAATATAAAAATATTTTTAAGTTAATATATATAAAATCATATTATATATAAATCTGTCACGAGTATCCGATTCATATTTTTTTGTTTTTTCTTTAAATTATATTATTTTTTAAAAACTATATAGAAAAATTCTAAAATTTAAAAGTCAATAATATATATGAATCCACACATAATGTAACATCCTCCATACCGGGTTAGTGATCAAATTGTGAGATTTAAAAATTCAGTGACCAAATTGGATAAATTAAAAGTTCAAAGAATTGATTGAAATGTTTTGTGTAGGAGCAATTAGCAAAGAAGGAGGAACTAAAGGTGAGTTTTCTTG